GGCCGCCCCCGAGGTCCTGCGGGACCCCCGCTCAGTCCCATCCCGGTAGAATCCCGGCCGGGGCTGCGGCCCCATTCAGCCCCTCCATCCTGGGCTCATCCCTTCCCTTCCTGCAGCGGTGGAGGAGCGTGTCATCAGCGAGGAGTACAAGATCTGGAAGAAAAACAGCCCCTTCTTGTACGACCTGGTGCTGACACACGCCCTGGAGTGGCCCAGCCTCACGGTGCAGTGGCTGCCTGAGCTCACCAGGTGAGGGAGGCAAGGTGCCGGAGAGGCGCTCGCCTCCTTTCCTGATTACCTTGAGGATAAAAACCGTGCGAGACGAGAGCAATTTGGGTTAGGCTTCTCTTTGTTGTCTTGTAGCTCTTTCTTTTGCTTACAGTAAAAATGTCAGAAGTTGATACTTCACCGACGTCTAGATTAGCCTAGCAGAAGGTGTTGTGAGGTGTGAACACAGAAATCTTTCTCAGTTCGTTTCTAAATAAAAAATCTAGTGCTCATCTATAGTTAATTCTGATCGAGAAGTCTATCTACTAAATTAGCTCATTCATAAAGAATGATTTTCCTGGTGTGCACTGTATATATTGTTCCATCCAAGCTATAGTATCAATAGTATAGTATAAACTTGATATCTTTTAAGCCTGGACTTCAGAGAATATTCTAAAACTGGTTCTTTGCATCCTGGTTTTGTCCCTGGTTCATTGTTGAATTAACATGTTTAAATTTCCCATTCTTCCACATCCCCCTGGAAAAAAAAAAAACCTGTGGGTTCAGTTTAATTTCTTAAAGAATTACGAAGATGGGGATAGATTCTGTTCATGTGCCAACTACTACAGAACTTAAGTTGTTACAGTAACAACTCAGGGCTCCACTGAGGTAGTGGACAAGGACTGGTGTAATGTGGATTTTAGGTAGATTTTAAAATACCCTGTGTGTAAGCTTCATGTAGCTATCAAAGGTTACATATGGGATGTTTTACATGTTGGTTAGGTGATCACTTCATTTGGGGTACCAGAATGTTTGGGTTTGCTATTGAGAGATGTGAGCTAGTCATGGCATGGAGAAAATGCAGTGGGCATTTGAGGGTGTGGAGCTCTTATGAGGAACACTTCTGCCTGCCTCATATTTTGCAGATTGACTTAATATTCAGTTTAAAACCTGGTATTTCCAATTCTCCAGTGTCAAAATATGTAAGCCATTTAAGGCAAGGACTGCCTCTTTGTATGGCATCTGACATGATGGAACAGCTGTTCCTGATGCAAGTAAGTGCATGTGCATTGTGTTTCTTGTTTGGCTTTGTATTTTTTCCCCCCTCTACATTTGGAAGTGTACCTGTGGTAGTTTATGATTGCCCAAACGATTCTGGATTGCTTGGATTCAGGAAATATAATTAGTTTGTTGCATTCAAAAATGCAGAGGTTGCTTGGTTTTTACTGCTCACATTTGTCCTTTCAGAGATGAATGGCACCATCCATCCAGCTGTTCACTTTTAACTAAATGTTGCATTCAACCACCAGAAGAGAAATTTGATTCTACTTCAGATAACTGGTAAAAGCTCCTAAGAGAAGTAACTAAAATAGGTTGCCATTTGTCTCCTCAGGATTTATGTTTTATGGAAAGGAGTATTGATTGTTTCCTAAATCAATACTGTGAGACTCTAGGGAAATTAGACCAAAGTAGGTACTGGTGTCTCCTTTAACTGCTGTGCAAACTGTAACTGCCCCTTTCAAGCCCCAGTGGCAATATTTACTGCCTTGTACTGTCACTTGAGCCTTGCTGGTTGTCTTTGGTTTGCCATGGCAGAGTCCAGTTTGCTTTATTACACAGGCTTTGCACCAAAGGGGAGGATCTCTTAGGGAGTGTCTCTTTTCTGGCTCCCTGAAGAGGTTTGCACCTTCAGGGTTATTGATGCAAGCTACGGAACTTCTGGAACTGAGCACATAATTTTATTCCAACATTTATTATTCTAAACAGGCCAGAAGGAAAGGATTATGCTCTGCACTGGCTGCTTTTGGGAACACACACGTCTGATGAACAGAATCACCTGGTTGTTGCCAGAGTCCAGATTCCCAACAATTATCAGTTTGATTCTTTGAAGTCTGGCAGTGAGAAAGGAGGTGGGTATGCAGCATTCTTAGGTTCTGTTTGAGCAGTATCATTACTGCTTTCAGTTGTTCTGATAATGATGTTCTAACTTCCTATTAAATACAAAAGTGGACAGATACTTACCAGTCCACACTAATTCTTGACAACTAAAAAGAAGGAACTGTTTGTTTCAGAAGAGCTTATGTAACATTGATATGCAATCCCTACTAGAATGTCTATCAACTCTCAGTTGTGGTGAAAACTGAGAATAAAATAAAACCTCTATATAAACACCTCAAATAAAAACTAAAGCTCTGAAAGTGGATTCTAAATATCAGAAGTGTTAATGCTATTGTGTTACATGGTGTGAGTCTTTCCTAGTCTTTAGGTTTAATAAGGTGCTACCACTGTTTCTTGGAGTAGGGAAGATGCTCTGAAATCCTATTTCAGTAGTCTAAAATAATGGATGGAATAAACCAACGTTTTTCTGACAACTGTAGAACTTGGTGGCTTTGGATCTGTGACTGGCAAAGTTGAGATGGAGATTAAAATTAACCACGAGGGTGAAGTGAACCGTGCCTGTTACATGCTGCAGAATCTCAGCATCGTCGCGACAAAAACACCCTCTGCTGATGTGCTGGTGTTTGACTGCACTAAACATCCTTCAAAACCAGGTGGGTCAGGCTCCTTGGAGCTAAGCACATGCCTCTTGTCACAGAGGGGTAAACTTGTGTTTAACTGGGACTGGGACAGAGTTGCTGGGCTCTGGAACCCAAAGGGGAATGCCCATATCTTCAGTGACTTTAACTTCCTGGTTATGCTCACTTTCATAAAAGAATCTTGGTAGGAACAGCACTCTCTGAAGGGGTTTATGTATGAAATATAATTATTACAACAGAAATTGGGTGGTAATGATGCTTCTATGAATTGATGTGTTAGCACATGCTAAATGAAAGGAATTTTCTATCTTTCAGACCCAAGTGGAGAGTGTAATCCTGAACTTAGATTAAGAGGACACCAGAAGGAAGGCTATGGCTTATCATGGAACTCCAGTTTGAGTGGACATCTTCTCAGTGCATCAGATGATCATGTAAAAACCCACAACTTTTCCCCTGTAAAAAGAGCCCAACTCCTTATGCTGTAGTAGAAAATTGGAGAAAATCTGTCCTAGAGCAGCTGTGTATTGTTATGTGGGGAGGCTCTCACATGTTCTAATTACATTTCTAAAGGCTTTCAGTTGGTTTTAGGCTGTCATCAACCACAAGTTCTTTTTAAGGTTCTTGATGTAAGAACAGAATGTTTTTATAGTTGTCTACTGGAAAAAATGCTTTAAACTGGATTAGGTCAAGACCATAAATTAGTAAGACTCTCAAAGATCAATAACTAATAGCTTATAAATTTCTTTGTGAACTTTAAAAGTGTAAATTGCTTTTGTGACCTTCTAAATAATCCTTGGCCCTTGCACTTGCAGAAGGCTGATTGATAACTTAGCTCTCATTTATGGCATAATAAGTGTTCTTTTCCAAAAGCAAAGAACTGCTTCAGGAGTGTTGTCTCTTTATATGTAGAGAGTGATTGATTATTTATTTGAAAGATGATACAATCAGAGTCTGCATTTCAATAGAATGTGTCTTACTTACAGACAGTGTGTTTATGGGATGTAAATGCTGGACCCAAAGAGGACAAGATTGTTGATGCCAGAGCCATCTTCACTGGGCACTCTGCAGTAGTGGAAGACGTGGCATGGCACCTGCTCCGTGAGTCTCTCTTTGGATCTGTGGCAGATGATCAGAAGCTTACGATGTAAGTAAGGACATTTTTAGGTAGGGTCTGCTGTGTCCTGCTGAGGCCTTTTTTCAACAAACAAAACACACTTTTGGGATGACATTAGTATGGCAGGTAATATAAAAGTGGATCTTTATTGGAGGACTTCAGGGCAGTTATGGAAGAATGTCCACAAAAGCCCACCCCCCATGAGGATGCATATTGTTTTATAAGTTTTTCAATTATGGTCATTTATTAAAAAAACACCAATTAGGAGGACAAGTGCTGGTGCAGGTCAAGTTCCTTTTCTGGAGCACCCCCCTTGGTACTGGCTGTACTTTGTTTATGAAAATGTGTCTCCACGAGCTGTTTTCAACCTTGGTAGCCAGGGAAAACCAAGATAGGATAGGGGCCCTTGGAATATGTTTTGTCTTTCTGCCTAGGGAAAGGGCATGGAAAACTTCTAGGAAAACTAACCACTAATAGGCTAATACTAACCACTAATACAATAGGCTACAAATGTATGTGTAAAGAATACAGAAAACATATAAAAGAAAAAAAGGTAAAACCAAAACAGCATCACTGCCACTGGACCTAGTCTACAGCACTTGGATAAAAAAAAGGTCTGAATTTTGGGGTGATTTAATGTAGTTCTTTATGGCAATCAGCTACAGTGATGGTGCAGATTCACTGAAATCTACATGCCATTTAGTGTGTTCACATCTCTTGAAAAGAAGATGTAACTAATATGTATGTCAGCTTCATGGTGCAAGCTGTTCATGTACAAAAGACACAAAATACGGTAGATTTTGGCATGAATGCTGTAGCTTCAGAGTTGAGTTTAGTAATAAAAGCTGTAGTGAGAAAGAACTTCCTATAAAAACTGAAGTTTGTTTGCTTTTCCTCTTTCCTCCCTTCCCCAAACCCTTCACTGCCACAGCTGGGACACAAGATCTAATGCCACATCCAAGCTGAGTCACTCAGTAGATGCTCACACAGCCGAGGTCAACTGCCTGTCCTTCAATCCCTACAGCGAGTTCATTCTGGCAACTGGCTCTGCTGACAAGGTTTCCACTTGTGTGTACTTTCCATTCCTGAGCAGTGCAGATGAAAGCCTTTATAGTAAAACCAATTTCTTGTTGCTTGTGTCTCCCAGACGGTGGCTCTGTGGGATCTTCGAAACTTAAAGCTGAAACTCCATTCTTTTGAGTCTCATAAGGATGAGATTTTTCAGGTGGGCAAACTACTTACAATCTATAGGAAAAGCCAAAGAGGAGTAGTGACTTGGACAAGAACATGTAGATTTGTGTTCTTGCAACACAAATAAATCTGTTTAATCAAAATTCACTATGTTGAGTTTGACAATTACAAACAGCACCATGGAGTTTATTTCTGCCCTTCCCCACTTTACTTTGAAGCAAATAGTCAACAACTTAATGCTAAAAAGATACTGGGTGTCACAAGTACCTTAAATACAAGTAGAAGGTTTCTCTAAAATAATGTGCTGTGGAGAGGATTTGCATTCAAACCTAATTTTGTGAACTTTGCCTATTTAATTAAGTGCAAGTAACAGGAATTTTTAGACAGATTTCATGAAATATTGTAAATCTGTAATACTAAAATATGTTGTCTGTTCAGTATGAGAAATCTTAAAGACTAAAGCAGTTTGTTTGAGCTGGTTATTCAGGATATGCTTTGGAAATCAGTAACTGCTCTCTGAAGTTGTTTCCTTTCAATAGGTTTACTGGTCTCCTCAGAATGAAACCATTCTTGCTTCAAGTGGCACCGATCGTCTCCTGAACATGTGGGATCTGAGGTGAGGAACAATTCCTGTCTCTTAGTGTATGTGAACAGATGGCTAAAAAAAGGCTGCAGGCCTGCATTATTTGGCAGGTTTCATTTGTGCTGGTCTCCAGCTTTCCTTGCCTACCTCAGGTCTGGTCTTCTGAGTATAAATAGAAACAGCACAGTACATCTAAAGTTACTTCTCCATCAGGGTTTCTTGCTAATAACATTGTTTGCTGTTGTCCACTTGTTGCCTAGATTCAAAAGACAAAACTTGCAACAGTGTTAAAGTAGTAGGATAAAAAGCAGTTCTTTAATGAAAGCTTTGAGGTGCACAAATATGGCCATAAGTGTATGTGTGAAAAAAGAATTTTCTGCAATTTTTAAAATGTTAATTAATTATTTATCTAGCAGGTACATCCAGTAGGAGATCAATTGGCCCAGTACAACACCCTTGGGTCTGCCCCTTTGGTGTTTGTCCAGGGGTTTCTTTGCCCTATTTCTTGTTATGTCTCTCAACTTCTGATGGAAAACAAGAAGTCCTTGTCAGAAATTCTGTTCTTAAGAATAAGACTAAACAGAATTTCAAGGATGTGTTAGAAAGGTTTAACTAATCATTCTAAAATGTGAGTGAGGGCAGGAAAAAGTACTAGAAATCATACAACTCTATATTAAAAGTCTACAAAGTTACAAATATGAAAAAGGCTAAAAATCTTTGGGCATCACATCAGTAAGTGATTTTTGCCTCTGTGCTTCACAAGTTAAGATTCCATTTCAGTAATGACAGTGCCAGACAGTTGATGTTTTATACCTGGTGTTTATAGATATTTTACAGTGAGAAACACAAATTGGAAATATGGGAAATATGGGAAACAAAGGCCAGGAACTGTTCAGTTAGGCTGACAGAGAATGCAACTGTCATTTTAATAAAAAGTGTAAACTACTTTCTTGCAGTAAAATTGGAGAAGAGCAGTCAGCAGAGGATGCAGAAGATGGGCCTCCTGAGCTGCTGGTACCCTTCTGTTCAGGTTTCAGTGTGCTGACATGCTGTGTGGCAGTGGGATGTCACAGTCTTGTCACTGTGCTGCTAAAACTGCAGCTGTTCATAAATCTTTTCACCTCCCTGGTTTCCAGTCCAGTGCTTTAATTTGCTGTAGGCTTCCTCTGTTCAGTTCTGAAGGTTTCCCCTTGTCTTGTGTGACTCTGTAAGTGCTCTTAGAGATAATCAGAATGAAATATGGCTGGATTTCACAGCCCAGCCCTGTGTGAAGAGAGACCATTTTGAGGATGTCAGTTGTTGCTGTCATAGTAGGAACTGTTATCTCAAATGCTGTCCCAGCAACTGCATCTGTGGCCATGAGCAGCAAATGGAAGCACTTGAACACCTTCCTTATGTCTGTTGTGAATCTCTAGCAACAGGGTTTTCTTTGGCTAGTCGTTAGCATGATGAATTTAACTTAAGAATCCTGGGTTTAAACAGATTTATCTAAAGTTGAAATGGCTTACTGAAGCTTGTGGGGTTTTTTTAACAGTTTATTCATGGAGGACACACTGCCAAAATTTCAGACTTCAGTTGGAATCCTAATGAGCCTTGGGTAATCTGTTCTGTATCAGAGGACAACATAATGCAGATATGGCAGATGGTGAGTGTCACAACAGCTCTTGAGTTACTCTAAAGCTTGTTGTACAAACGAAACTGAAAAGGCTTGTTCTTCTTGGGGCAGCCTGTGCCTTCAAGGACTGAAAGTTGTCTGTGCCATATACTTCTTGATCTAATCAAAAAGTGTAAGATTTTAAAAAGAAAACCAAGACTAAAACAACTTGATTAAAAGCAACTGCTACTTAATTCTTGATTCCAAGTTCTAGGTACTAATTAACATTAAGATCTATTCTTAACAAAGCAGTTGCAAACTTATATCCAGTATTAGCCAAGACTTACTCTTGCCCAACTCCCTCCCCCTTATGTTGCCTCTAAAGCAGGATGCCTTTTAAATCCCCAGTTATTTCATATTACTTTACATCACAGGAAATTGATCTGCTACCTTAGAAATGTGGAATAAAGTAATTGGGGAATAAATTGAGTTTAAAAACTCTTAACAGACTAAAACGTGTGCCACCGGTGAGGCTTCTTTTTTTAGTACCTGCTCTTGTTTTGTGTGTTTAGACTGTGGTTGAAATAATTCCAAATAAAATGTTCATGATAGGGCTAGTTGTTAAGTGGCTAGTGCTTTTGCTGTTGAGATGGAGCAGTGTAAGAAAGCAGCTGCCAAAATGTAGCCATTGTGTACACATTTCTAAATTTGGCAGCCCTTTAAGAAGGGGCAGGGAGAAAATCCCTTCAAGAAGGGGATGATGGCTGTGCCACCTTGGTGTTATTGAGGGTTTTTTCTGTATGAAGTGTAGAAGATTGTTTTAAAACAATTGTGTGTATCATTTGTAATGTTTTGTGTCTTCAGGCAGAAAACATTTACAGTGATGAAGAACCAGATATAACAGCAGCTGAACTGGAAGCTCAAGGAATGTAACTTTTCTTCTTTAAGGAACTAGAGGGAATGACATAGTAATGTAATTTGAGTACTGTATACGTAAAATAAAGACCTGAAAAAAACACAGACAACCAAATACCAAACCAAAGAACCCCAGAATCACTGGGCAGAAGCCTTGCATCAAAACAGGAATACTCCTAATTGGATTAAGCAAAAAGCTTGTATAATCAAATTGTCATGGGATACTCTTGGTTCTGTGGGCACTTTGAGCTGTTGTATACTGTACAGCAGTTAGCTTTAGAGAAACTAACAATGACTTAATACCCATGTCTATATTTTTAAATAAACTTTGTGTGTTCTGTAAATAAAATGGTGAAATCCTCACTTTTCACACATAGAAACTGTATAAAAAACGCCTTTTCTATTAATATGCAAAAAGAGCTTTTCACTTTCCCACACCACTTTTGGATTGGTTTTGCATAAGTAAAATCTATTAAAAAAAGTGTTTGGTGTATTTAATGTCCACTGGCATAAGGTGAATGCCTTCTTGCATTCAATAATAAAATAGAATTTAATTGCTGCCTGGTGACAAAGTTACATATTTTTTAGTTTATAACTTAGCCCAGTTAAAAATCTGGGATGATTTGAGTTGTTTTTATGCAAAAAACCATTGGAATACAGAACTTGACTTCTTCACAAAGGGCATGGATTTAGGAGGAGGTTTAAGGAATTCATGGGGAGAAGCAGTAGATCTCCTGTCACGTTCAAGTACAAATCTTGAGCAGAGTTAAGTAACTTCTTTGTGTATGGGTGATTAGTGTTTGGATTTTGTCTGTTTGTGTTAGTGTGTAGTGGGGCTTTTTTGGGTGGTGATAAAAGCACTGTCCTTTATTCTTAGACTGCCAAGGTGCCAGTGCCCTCCCAGTGAATTGGTGTCACCTGTGTCTGGTTGGAGCCTTCCTGTTGCATTTTTTACTTAAGTGAGGCAATTGGGTAGTTGTCTAATATACATCAGTGTCTGAACAAATAATAGACAAACACACAGTTTGCTTCTGGATTGACTGAAAAGCTCAAGAATTTTGCCTATATAGAAGCAAAATGTCTTCATATTTATCATAGATCTACACATAGGTGATGGGTTACGTTGGGAGCTGTCAGAGAAGTGTAAATGAATTTCATAGCTCTTAGCTACTTAAGACCTTACTTAAATTAATTGCTGGCTATCCTGATCTTTCTGCTCAAGCTGAAGATGACAGTGGTGACTGATACTGACAGGGTGATACCTTGCTCTCCTCTCCACTGGAGCTGTAAGGAGTCAGCAGACAACTGGGCTCAAGCTGTGTATCTGAAGCTGCCCGTGCTGGCCTGGCTGGGATGGAGAGCTTGTCCATCTGAGCAGGGCTGGGCTGCTGGGGACTGTGTTTGGTTTTATGGCTGGAATGCTGCAAAGGCAGCTGTGCTTTGGTGCTTGCTGGGCAGTGCTTGCACACTGGGGGTAGGGGCATGGGCTGGGGAGGAGACACAGCTGGGACAGCTGACCCCAATGGCCAAAGGGATATTCCTTACTTTAGGCTAAGCTCAGCAATAAAATGGGTGAGGAAGGTGAAGAGGGCCTTTCCTGGTGGCCATTGCTTGGATGGTGGCAGGGCAGTGACCTGTGTCAGGGAGAGGGTAAGTGATTTTATTCTCCCTCACCCACTTCTGGAACTCCTCCAGCTGTACCCAGGAGCTTTTCTTCCTGTTCTCTCCCCCACCCTGCTGGGGAAGTGCAAGTGACAGCACATGATAAGCATTTAACACTGCATTCAGAGGTGGTTTATGGTCAGGCCCTACATTCTTTTGGGCAATCATTCTGACACACACAGCTCTTGAAAAGCAGGAAATGAAGATGTCAATGGGCCAGCTTTCTGAAAAAACAGAACTACTTCCCTGAGAGCATGATGGTGGCTCCTCTTGGTACAGAACAGAAATACTTCCCTGAGAGCATGATGGTGGCTCCTCCTGGTACAGACAGAGCAGTGCTCTGTGACATGACCCCTCCCTCCTGCAAGTCCTCCTCAGTGCTCACTTCAAGGAGACCTCCTGGCTGCTTGGCACCAACACGTAGAGCACAGCTCATCCATAGAATTGGTGATTCCAGCTTTGTGTGTTCAACCAGCACTGTGGCAGAGTGGTCTTTTATTGCTAATTAAGCCAAGGACCACTACTGTTGTGCATCACACATTTTTGCTCTCACTCTTCCCTAAGAATGGGATGGTTTGCATCACCAACTCCTCTGAAGATAAACTTGACAGAAGAATTTGTGAGGAGCTGCAAGGCATTAAGTGTAACTGATGCTGAAATATTTTGGAAGACTGATATCTATACAACAACAAACCCAAGAGTGTGTGTACATTCTTCATTTTGCCTCAGTGTGGCAAAAGTAAGTTTGAGGTTTTCCTTTACTGTCTAGGAAGAACGGTATTTGCTTTTATTGTAAAATGCAAGACCCTTGAGAGCCTTAACAGGTAATTTTTGCTATGTAGCCACACAGTTTATGCCATTATCCATAGTATACTTTATTGTCTTCCATGTGTATGTGATGCCTCTTCAGCACTGAAGCAGCTGAAGAAAGCCATGTAAACTCTCAACAGGAAATAAGTATTTAAGTCAAACACCCAGTGTTTGACCTGCTGCTTTATGGCCACTGAGATGGTTGGTGGGGTAGAGTCCTCATAATTCTTTCAACATCAACTTTTGTCTTGTGAATTTCAAACCCAAAGCTTTCCCCAGTTTAAGCAGAATCAAACATGGATAACAGAATGTTTTGAGAGTTCAACTATGCTTCCCCTTTAAAAGGCAATAGATAAAACATCAACAGTGCATAAAATCCATATTTTGGAGAAAAGGGTTAGGAAAAGAGTAAGTAACCACCCAGCAGGAAACAGCAGATTCACAAAGCCAGCAAAAGCTTTGATGAAAAGGATTTATAAAACAGGCAGCATGACCAAGATCAAATGCTTTTATATGAATACAGGCATAAAGGTTAGAAACCAACCAAACAACTCCAACAGATTACATGGATTAAATAGCAGTATCATCATGGACTTGGCAGAACTGAGGTAGTTATTTTGATGCTTAACACCAGGACATAAATCGGGTAGAGGTGATACTGAACTACATCAATATGGACTATTTGTCACATGGCTGTATTCAGATACATTTTAAAAATGAGTGACTTAAATTCATTTTCTCAGCTTGAAATATCAGGAGATATAACAGAGTATTTAAATTTACAAAGGCTCTAAGAGGTTATTTTCTTGAAGAAGAGCAGTGTCCTTGGCATAGTCTGGAATTACACAAAGGCCTTCTTCAAGTGTCCCAGTCCATGAGACAAGTACAGCCCAGATCCCTGTTTGAACAAGAAATCCAAAACAACATGCAGCCCCAAAGCTAAACATAACAGTTCTAAAGGAAATTAAAATAAAGTCTTCAGGCACCACAGTATTCTTAAATTACTTAAAAGTTCAGGCTTGATGGGTGCCAGAGTCAGCAAGGTCTGTAAAAGTAGCACAGTTAGATGAGGCTGAGTTAGGCTCTAAGAAGGAAATACAGCCTTTCTTCAAGAAATAGCTAAACAAGAAGGGTGGAATTATCAAAATTTAAATGTAAAACTTAACCCCCAACCAAACCAGAAAGGAACAAAAAGTATCTGTAAGGAGTAACTTTGTAAAGGTCTAAAGCCAAGTATCTCTGCTACATCAAACACAGGTGCCTGAAGGGCTCAGAATGCAGCTGGTGAAAAAGCTTCTCCCCTCAGACCCACTTTTCACTAGACAAGTACAGCTCAAATGTGTGTGCATATGTCTGCATGTGCATTAGCAGGAGAGACTTAGCACTTGACTGAAAAAAGGAAAGAGCCAAAATCACCAGCTATTAACTGCAACCAAATTTCCCTCTAGCTTGCAAATCTGACCAGTTTTTGTAAGGAGCTTAGGAAGACTGGGAAGATCCAAGGAAATAAATAATACCAGATTTGACCTCTGTACCAGCATGCACTGGAAGAAAGGAGGGGGAGAGGTGTTTACACAGCAGCAGAGGCAGCACCTTTGAGGAGACTGAGATACAAAGGAATACTTTGAAGTGCAAGGAGAACAACTAAGACCAGACAGTGTGGTTAGATTTCAAAATACTTGGCACACCTCTAGAAAAGGCTCAGGGCTAGGACCCATGCTGCTCACTTCTTATACAATGGTATTGGCAAACAAGTTAAATGTTTTTAAATTAATAAAATTAATGCTATCTGCAAAGAGTCAGAGAGCACAGAGTATGGTACTGTAGAGCAATTCCAAATGCTACTTAGAAAAAATAGACACAAAGGAAAACTGAACTCAAAACCAGCTCCAAAACAAAACCCAGTTTAGGGAAGTTGCAAAATGTTAGAGTATATACCAAAAAAGCAAACAGAACACTTTTCAGTATTAGGAAACTGGGAGGGAGTGTACATTAGGAACAAATGACCCCACAGAGTACAACAATGTGAAGCACTTGATGAACGTAATAGGAAACCTTATTTTTTAGCATAAATCCCCACATTTTTTACAGTGCATCCAACTGAACTACGATGGGTAAAGTTTTGGAGAGAGAAGGCATGAGCAGAATTTGAAGCAGGCAGGGGGAGGTTCAGCCAGGGCTCCTGCCCTTCATGGTCCAAGTGACCCTCACCTTAAGACACTCCAGGGGAGGTGAGCAGAGCGCAGCACCCACTCAGCCCCTCCCAGGGCAGCTCCTCCAACAATATGCTTGAAATCAAATGTCACATCTTTTCGTTTTCACTCTTGACTTTCCAAATAAATACAGTTTCAGCAGATTCAGTTACAAGACATGAGTATGATGTTAAAGAAAAACTCAGAGTCCAATATATTAAGCATACTTATTTACTTAATCTATACAGAATTGAGTAGATAAAATTTCAGATTCACATTAGTGAAAAATCTCTACAAAATGTTTTTGAAAAGCAAAACAAAGACTGCCTGTTCATTTATCACTTTTCCTCATGAAAGCAGACATGGGTTGTAAAAATAAAGCAGTGTGTTTAGCACAAACTAGATTTCTGCATCACTTTTTTCACAGTTATTTCCATCTACAGTCCAAAGAGGTAGATTTTCTGCAACACCTGAGAATTGAACTGTAACATAACCAGGTGTAATGAAAGGAAGGACAAAACAATACAGATACAGCCCTAACTTACGTGTGTGTGTATACACGTACTTGGGTCTTGAATCACATACAATTCAGCTTTTTGCAGCTTAATCATGGTGAAACTGTCCATCAGGCCCCAGTTCTGACAATTAGACACACTCACCTCAGGCTACATCAGTTCACATCCAGGTTAAATGGTTTGTAGTAGTGGGAGAAAGGCAGTAATAGAAATTTACTTAAAAACCCTACTGGAGCCCCTTTGGCTGCAGCCTGGCAGTGCAATAGCCTGCAATATGGCAGATCAGAGACAGTGCTGAGCTTATCCCTAACATCAGTCTGTATTTTTAAAACAACACTTTTTAATCAATG